TTGACCTGGAAAAAATCAGAAATACTCGCTGTTAAACAATTTCTTACAAAAAATGATTTTATAATGAGTTTTTATTTTATAATTTTTGTCTTATCTAATTTTATCCAATTTTCACAAGCATAAAGGAATTGGTATTTGATCTGGAAAAAATCAGAAATACTCGCTGTTAAACAATTTCTTACAAAAAATGATTTTATAATGAGTTTTTATTTTATAATTTTTGTCTTATCTAATTTTATCTAATTTTCACAAGCATAATGATATCAAAAGAATTGGTAATTAGCCAGAAAAAAAATCAGAAACACTCAGTTGTTAAATAATTTCTTACAAAAATGACTTTATATTTTACTTGACGGTCTTGACATTAATTAATAAGTATTCGGATTAACACAATTACTCTTCTTATTTTTATATTTTACTTGTTTTTCTTTTTAATAATAACACTACTAGTGATTCTGCAAGTTACGTTTCTGTCCTCAAAATGATGTCATCTTCTTTTTTATTTATAAAGCTTAAATTAAAATACCCCAAACAATAAAAAATAGGGATTATATTGACAAAAAAAAGAGACTTAAAAGAACAATTTTAAAATATATTTATTATTCAATAAATAATCGTTTTCTTTAATCTTTAAGAACTAGAATCTCATGATAGTTTATTTAAAAAAATATTTTTAGCTTAACATAAACTAATAATCTAAACGTATGCCATCATCACTCACATTTTTTTTTCTAAAAGTCTCATCCAAATATAACCTTGTTCTTCAATAATCCTAGCCTGTCTCCTCCAAAGTTTGATCATATACAGAGTTATCTTATTTCATTTTAGTGTTATAAAAAAACTAAAATTTTTAACGGTTAAAATCTCAAGCCGACCGAAGTTGATCCAACAAGATTTAGCTTGAATCCAAAAAATATGTCAACTATATGATGATGTAGTGACCCAATTGCAAAGTAGCAGGCAAAGGAAAAAAACGAGTCAAACTGACGAAGCAGATGATTTCAGATAAAAGGAAAGAAAAATTAAAGATGTGATGTTTCAGTTTGGATCTGTGGGCAATTTCAGTGACTGCGCAATGTTTATCCAATTCAGGACACGGTATTAAGGTAAAATATCTTCATTTTTCAAACTGATAAGAACAAAATCAATCACCACAAAATCTAACCCTGGTTTGTCTTCGTGATACAAGTTACCTGTACCAACATCAATATTATGTAAAATAAAATCATTTAACAGTTTTTTTTTTCATAAACTAGATAAAGAACATCATGTGCCTTTTTCTAAGAAACTTCAAATACACTGAGGAATATGTTTAAGACAGATTGCATGCGTTCAACTACCAACCGACAATAATGCATGGTTCACAGCCATAGCCACACTAGCCAGCTTAGACAACCTTATTTGTGGCTCTTCTTCCTTCTACTTTCTTCTTACCAACGCATACGCATATTATCTTTCTTTGCCATGTGCAACCATTTCCAAAGTAATTTGAGTCCCAATATTATATTCCTTAGCCTTTATTTACACTACGGAATATCAATCTTCTCTTGCTTTGTCCCAACATTCTCTTAATCGCGTAAGAAACGTATCTGGTCAGTTAAAACAGGATATACATCGTTCAACTCTCTTCCTTTGGTGTTTCCAAAATTCCACTTATAATTTCCCATCAGTGATTCCTTTTCTATTCCTTCGTTTTCAAGACGTTATAAAGAATGAATTTTACTGTTTTATATATGCTAATTAAAAGAGGAGGCTTTCGTCGGATCTGTTGCAAAAAGTTGGTTTAATTTGAAAGCGCAAGATTCTATACCCTTGGGTTTTTTGTGAGGAAGGATGAAAGATTATGCAAGTGATTAAATTAACCAAGCCCACACATGATGCTAAAATAGCAAGTCCAAGATTCCAATGGCACATACGCATTCACACGCACTTCCAAAGATGCTCCTCTCATCCATTTCACACAATAATATATGGATGATGGACCCAATCAAGTAACCTTACTTCATCTGGGTCCTACACGTTCCTCTACGCTAAAATCACAAAATTAATTTAATTATGGTCAACAAAGCTTACCCTTTCAGCTGGCGATGCCATGCACATTGAAATTACCTCATCTAGCTATCTGCCACATGTACCAGGTATTAATTATTCAACTGAATCCAGAACCAAAAGTCAATTTACCAATTACCCACCTCTTGCATCACCCTTATAAATATCAACACCCCACGATGTCACGAATCTCTCTCATCATTCCGTTTTTACAAGCTTTATCATCGATCCAGCAAGCTATAGTAGATATTTAGAATAGTATACAGGAATGGGAAACTGTTGTGCGACGGAGTCGTCTTGGGGTGGTGATGATTGGGGTTCTTTGTCATCGAAAAGAAGGAGTATGAGTTCGGGGAAGGTGTTTGATGAAGTTCACGAGGCGAGTTTGGATAAGGTGGAGAAGGAAAAGCTGTTGGGTGCGCTGAGAGCTTCTTCTGATGCCAATGGGAAGGTGAAGATCAAGATCTCGAAGAAGGAGCTGGCACAGTTGTTGGGAGGGAAAGAGAGTGGTAAGCATTTGGGTGAAGAAGGACACGCTTCAGCGGAACAGGTTCTGGCTCGTTTGATTCACGCAAGAGATCATTCGAGTAACGAGTACCATGATGTTCATCATAGACCTTGGAGACCTGTGCTTCAAAGTATACCTGAGTTGAATTAGTTAAAGGTGGTCGGGTGTGTCGAGTAGAGGTTGAGATTTAGGTGATTTTTTTATTTGTTTTCCATGTTTTCAGCTTGTGTTTTTCTTCTATGGTTGGGAATGTGTCATTTGTATATTCGTCGTTCCGCGAGTGAAACTTTGGAAAACTGAAAATTGTAGATTTTTGAGTTTCTTGTAACTCACTATTTTACTGCATTATTGTATATTAATAGTTTATGGTGTATGTAACTATATATATGGTTTTAATAGGGATTATTGATAAGTGAACCGAATCAAGAAGTTTCGTGTATTCATCAACCATGACGCGTCCAGAAGATATAATCTGGCTGTCTTTTTTGCTGTTTCATGTGTGGGAATTTATTTATTCACATCTGACATCCGCTTTATAGGTAAAAAATTATTGTCCTTTTTTTTCTATTTAAAAAAAAAAGATTTTCGATACAGCTAACTCTACGGTGAGAAATTTCTTAATTGTTCACGTAAATTTATTCACACGGCTCTCCTAATTAAAGATGATATTTAAATATTTGAGCATGCTGTAGAAAAATGTAGGTGGATCTACATATAGAAATGGCCTAAATATTAAAAGTGATTATAACATTTCCTTCACACAATACTCTTTTGTTGGTGCGTAGTTTTCATTTGGTAAATGGTATATTTTGACAGTAACATCTGATAAAAAAATACGAAATAAAATTAATAGTATGCGCAAAAAAAATAAAAAATTTAAAAAATATCACCTATTATGAAGACTTTCCATGCAAGTTCATCACATTCAACTAATCCAGATTGTCTTGGGTTTGAGATGCCTTTTAATTTTTGGAATTTGAAATATTAATGGTTTAAAACAAAAGAATTAATAGGTACTGAATTTGGAGGTTTGGGAAGTTGGGCCCAGAGATTGCTGGCTGCGGGCATTAATTAACTAACTTGATAAATTGTTGTGTGGGCCTTCTTCGGTCTGTGACTCGAAATAACTTTCTGTGCTTAGCTTTTCTACCGTTGAAAATGTCTTTTAATGCTGTTTCTACGGGTTTACTTTAAAGGTTTTTTCTTTCTTATGCAAATGTGCATAGGTTAAGAATAAATTATACTTTTTTTATTGTCTTGGTAAAAGGAATAGTAACATCTTTCTTATGAAGTTAAGAAAAATTAATAAATATGTTAATTTAACGAAATATTATATATGAAGAAAACAAACAATATTATGATATCTTTAGGAGAGTATTTTTTGTTTTTAAAAAAGATACTATATGAATTTATATTATTTTAATTAATGGAGTTAATTATTTCAGATTTTACTTTAAACAACACTTCTCTTATTCTTATTAATAATCTAAATTATGTAAAAGTTGTACCGATAAATTTATATAAAAAAATTACTATGATTGCATGTCTTAAAAAAATTACATTAATATATTATATTTGTCATATAAAATTATTTGTTAAAATGAACTTATTCTTATATTTAAATTTTGAGTGTACATGCGCATGCTTAAGTGTGTGTTGTGTGTCCATGCGTGTGTGACATAAAAATGAGAGGGTGTGTTTCTATTTATAATAAAAATCAAATCAAATACTTATCCATTGTATTTAAATTTGAGTGAAAAAGGTATATATAAAAATTACACAATAAACAAATGAGTGTGTAGGTTTAATTTACTATAAAATATCATTTTTAGTTTAAATGTATTTATCTTTTTAATTAATATATACAAGAAAATATAGTGTCTAGAATATCAACTTTAGGTTGTTTGTGCATCTCAAAGCGTGAGTTGAGAATTTGAAGTTGGCTAGGTATAATTCTAAAAAAATATTGTTCTATAGATTTATGCAGACTCGTTGGGCGAGCCTATGATTGTTAGATGAGTTAGTAGTGAAAATTGGTTAGATATTGTAGGGGTTAGATAACTTTTTGGCAAGTATACCAAATCGTTCCAAGTAATACAGTGAATAAGTAAAAGTATCGTCTCCCAAGGGACTTGTGCAACACATGACAATTCTTCCTTTTATAACTCAATTAGACATCAAAATGCACAAAACAACACAAGAAACTATTTTTGGTATTTTATCAAACAGTTGGTGTGCAAGAAATTTATATTTAAAAGAAACTTCGTTGGTATTGGGTTTCATGAATCATATGAAGATAAAACTCTGTACAATATATCATTATTTCATTCAAACATTCACATCAAGCCATACTAGTCCTAATCCCTTAGCAACTAGTTCTAAATTAATATATCAAAATGTTAATCCCTTAGCCAATTTAATATACAATTTGCATTAAGTCTGATGTTAAGAATGATCAAGTTATTGAGTCTATCCCTAGATCCCAAATCACTTAAGTGCTCTATCTACGTTCGTTCATGTTCAAAGTTACTTTCCAGTAATCAAAGACATTAAAAGAACGTTATATTTTCATACAATGATAATAAATTCAAGAAAGAGCATATGAACGAACAACGATATATTGAGCATGAAAATTACATTACACTGAGTTCATTACATCCAATCCCAACGAAAGAGAAATTTAACTACTCCTAGTCATCTAAAACGTACACATTTGAAGCAATCCCTTGCAACAATGGTGTCTTGATGCCTTGAAGTAGTCTCCAGAAGTTCCTGAGATGTTTTCGTTTCTTTCTTTTGTCTGGAACTTCTGTTCGAAGGGAATGTTTCTGTCGCTCTGTCACGTCTTTTAAAGCCACTTAAATTCATTAATTCGCTTAGCGCACATGTACTGGTGCGCTATGCGAATTTTCTTAACTGCTGTATTTTAACTTATGTTATTCGCTCAGCGCACAGGTACTGGTGCGCTATGCGAATTTTCTTTTTCTGTCAGTGCGAATTTTGGCTTTCGCTTTGCGAAAATTGGCTGACATAGTCTAAATAATATATCATTTCCTGTACAATATTTTTCATAACAATTTACTACCTATTACAACTTTTCAACTAGGAACAACATGAAAAATTACAAGATTGAGTTCATTTATAAGTATAAAAACAACTCTTTTTCACACTTATCAGGGTTGGGTGAGAATTTTCGTTGAGCTTAAAGAACACTCTGTTTTTGCATTCGTTGGACGCGAAAGACTTCTCGTTTAGCCTTTCTTTCAATTTTTTTCTTGTGACTTTGAACTATATTATTAAATTGATTTTTGTGTGTGTGTCTATATATATATATATATATATATATATATTGATATATAAATGAGGTTATATATGTGTATGATGTGACGAGAATTCCAAGGGGAGTTCTTGTTGGTTATGTATTGATATAGATACTCATTTTTAGGAGTTATCCTAACACTTCAATAACTAGTCTCAAGTAGAGAAGAATGAGTTATGTGGTGGAAAATAGTAAGATGTCTTAGTCTATTGTTTGATTTTTTTTACTATAAATAGTAAACGGATTAAGCTTGTATGATAGTTTTGATGGGTAAGTTGTTTCACAATTTGAAATTCAATTTACATGTTCTTAGTTTAGTGTATAAATTTTAAGTTATAATTATATTTTGTATAATTATAATAATACTTTATAATTTTTTTTATGTTAATTATTCTTATTTATTAAATGTGTGATGCTTCCATAATAATAGTTTAAAACTATTAAAAATGGAATGTTACATAATAATTATACTAAGCTTTAAAATTTTATACAACTAATTTATAATATCAAATTTACACTCACTTATTTATTAATTTAATTATGTAAAATCGACCTTAAAATGGATGGTAACTTATACATTTTTTTTTATTATATCTGAAGTTGATTTGAAACTCGTAAAATATTACAAGTTACATTTTAAATTCATTATTAGCCTGAGATAATTTTTCGCCAACAATTTAAGAAAAAGGAAAAATATTTATGAACAAAACTAATTTGAATTTTTTTTTCATATAACTTTTGAAATATGATTTTTAATCTGTGTATAAATTAATTTTAGTCTAGGGATAAATTTAGTTTATCTTATTCGGTTCCTTAATTATTTTTTAAACGAATTTGTCATGAGCAAACAAATCGAAATAAATTTATTTTACCGGAATTCAAATTTTTTTGAGGGAAATTTGAATTTAAAGTTTTAAAATGACGCCTGATTTAAAATTTGTTGAGAGAGCTTTGCCAGTTGATTAGTTTCATCATTTTGAAACTACATTAGTTGTATATAATTTTATATGAGACTATAAATAATTTTTTTAGGAAAACTAATATTATTCGTGTAAAATAAAATGATAATTATTCTAATTAATACAGTTACATTTTCAAAACTTTTAGCCGGAATTATGTGAACCACTCTAGCGTTTGGATTTTAACTAGGATGGACGTAAACAATACTGTTTATGAACAGTAAGCGTAAAAAGAAGTGTCATTAATTGTAAAAGAATCGTCCAATTAATGAGAAGCAGCTTGATTTGACGATATAGAATCTGAAAAACCATACTTAAAACGGCTCATTAGCCATAAAGAATTATGTCTGAATTGAATGCATTACGGATAAATCAGAAATGAAAGTGGCAAGTAGTGGGAGGAAACGATGCTTCCGTTCCGTTAGCCGTTCCACGTCAAAATAAATAAATAAATAAAAGCAACACCCACAAACGCACCCTATTAATCACGCCATCTACCAACTGCCACGCGACACAGTTGGCGCCAAACACACAACACACGAAACCTACAAATGGAACAAACTACTTCCACACACACACACACAAAAAAACTACCTACGAGCTGGCATGTACTGTCACAGACACTACAAACTTAATCCAAGATTATGTTCTTTAAACATAAAACTCACACTTCAATTTGTAACTGTATGCAATTAAAAAGATATTAAAAACCAAAACTGGTTTATGTAATTTTCACATTTAAAAAGCAAAAAGCAGAGGAAGCAGTGAAATAAAAAAGGCAATGAATGGCGTAAATGCGGTAGCTAAGTGGGAGTCATTGCAAATGCTAATGGTGGGGTCTACCTTTTCTCTCTCCTTCTTATGGGTCTCACCAGACAGCTTTTACTGATCCTGCCATCCACAGTCCCCACTCACTTTGAACCCTCGTTCATTCATTCATGGCTTTCACTCTTCTTTTTCTTCCATCCTTTCTTCCCTTCACACTTCACTTTATCATGACCCCTTTTCGATCCTTCTAGTTCTTCCTCCTCCTTGTCTTCTTCTTCTTCTTCTTCTTCTTCTTCCTCTTCTGTCTCCAATGCCACAATCACTCACCTTTTTGTTCTCTCCTTGAATGCTTCTTTCGATTTCTGCACCATGCCCCACTTCTTCCCCTGCCTCCTCACCGTCTTTCTCTTCCTGCTGCCTCTCCGTAAGTCCTTATTCTCACTTTTCT